TGAATATATTTGTTATGTAGAACATCTTTTCATATATTTATTTGCTGTTTATATTCATCTGAGAAATCTCTTTTCATTTCAGATGCCTAAGTTTTAAGACTTCTAGGAAGATGCTACAGTAGTGAACAGCAGAGAAATATCCTGTCTAAGATTTGGTGTCCAGATACTGGAATATAGCAATATGAGGAAAATAAAGGGGCTGGGGAGATGGCTCAGTAGAATAAGCGCTTGCCTGGCAAGTGCAAGGGCCTGAGTTAAATTCCTGGTTCCACAGGAAAAAAAAAAAAAGGAAAAGAAAAAGCAAGGAAGTGGGTCTCAGCACCTGCCTGACAAGCAGAAGGACCTGGGCTTGATCCTTGGAGTCTGGGAGTGGTGGCGCACACCTGTGATCCAGTGCTGGGGAGGCTGAAACAGGAGGATCACTACCAGTCGAGCTGCATAGTGAGAACCTGTACAAATATATTAAAAAAAAAAAAAAAACTTGTGATACTTGGCATATTCTCTTATAGTGGGAGCCTTCGTGAGCATATTATAGCAGAAGTTAGAAATTAATTAGAGAAGGGGCCGAGGAGATGGCTCAGTGGAATAAGCGCTTCCCTGGCAAGTGCAAGGGCCTGAGTTCGATTCTTGGTTCCGGAAAAAAAAAAAAAGAAATTAATTAGAGGCCTGTAACTACCAACCCCTGCTGCTAGTCATGTACATGACTTGGCGAAATTTCAGCTAAGCCTTGATTGTCTGAGTCTAGTTGTTATCCTTTAACAATGTGCTGGTCAGGGCCGGCAAGATAGCTCAACAGTCTAAAGTGCCTGCTTACACAAGTTTAGGCAGGTGCAGGGGACCATGGTACAATCCCTGTCACCACATGCTGAGCCAGCCTAGCCCTCAGGACAGGCTGAGCCAGCCAAAACAACAACAAAAAAACAAAACAAAACAAAAAAACAATGTGCTGGGTCAAATTGACTATGTCTGGCTTGTGTTTTCCTTTAGTTAAAAGAAAATGCAAAAGTGATCCACGATGTAGAGTGTGCCTAAGGAGAGTCACTTGGAGAGAAAACATTCTCTCAGGCTTTCACAGAGAGCACATTGGCCAAGCAGTGGCCGGGTCTCATCCACACGGCTGACACTGACAAAGGTTCTAAAATCTGAGGTGCAGGATCTCAGGATAAATCCTGAGGGGATTTCACTGACCTTATCAGACCCAAAAGCTACAACTCTTGTTGCATAGGTCCTGCTTTACCTTGGTCTTAACCATCCAGAAAAAAAAGTATAAAAACAAAATATAAGAAATAAAGCCATGCTGTTATGTTGAGCTGTAGGGGACTCAGGTCAACAGTTTCTGACGTTGCCAGTTAAGCGGAAGACCCGATACTATTATGGGCTACTGGACTCTTTTAGAATATTTTGCTGAGTTTACACACTATAATATTCAAATAACGGAACTTAACAAAAAAAGGGTATACAGATGAATGTCCACTTTGTATCTGTGTATTCAAAGTGGTTAGGATAGATATATAGTTACATTCTGTTAATGAATAGAATGATTTGTTCTAATGGTGTTTGTAAATAGGATGTCAAGTCCGCATCTTGTACAGCAATTAACCACTAAGAAGAATGTGGGAAAAAAAAAAATGCACTGATTCCAACTTGCTTCAAGAATGTCATGCCTGGGGAACAACTGGCCTAGTCAATGAAACATTTAACTTGGCTTGTCCCATACAAATACCCTTCCCTCATCCCCAGCATATTCCTACATAATGGTAAACATTTCCTTTTTAAGTAAGTTTGCTAAAATTACCTTGCTTAATGTATTTAACCACTCATGTATTAACCTATTAGCCTTGTGTTTCCTGCTTGCAAATTATATTTAAACCCATGCAAGGCTGACCCAGGGCTGATGATTTAAAACTCAGTTTTCCTTAGGTCTGCCAGCATTAATAAAAGTTGCCTTCTCAACTCTTTGGTGCAAAGTCTTCCATTTGGTTTTCTGAAACAATAAGACATGCAATAGGAGAGCTAGGGAGATAGCTCAATGACCTAAATGTTTGCCTGGCAAGCACATGGTCCTAAATTCATCTCTGGTACCAAAATAAATAAATAAATAAAATTTTAAAAAGGCAGGTAATAGTTCTTGTCTAGCATTTGTTAAGGTGCTAGGCTAAATACTTAGCACATGGAACATGGGTAGCGGTTGAGGGCTGTGGGATTCTTCTCATTTACAGCAGGACCTCACCTCTTGTCAGGAGAGAGCTTTTGCTTATCATCTTGGCTATGAGAAGAGCAGTGGACCACAAAGGAAGGGGAGTGTCAAATCACAATGTAAATCTATGCTAATCAGGCCTTGGGGATCTACTTGTGCTTTGAGGACCCTTGGCACACGTGTTGCCCCACGTCAATGACACTTTATGCAGAGCACTGTTATGGGCTCAATGTGCCCTTCCAGGAATTGTAAACTCAGATCTGGTCCCATTTTCTTGGTTTCCTCTCCCAGCTCTGCTGCCATTCTCCCAGCTCCAGCTTAGATCTAAATAACTACCAACTCGATCACATACACTATTTTATGCACAAAAAGGGGCCAGGGAGATGGCTCAGTGGAATAAGCACTTCCCTGGCAAGCGCAAGGGCCCGAGTTCAATCCCCGGTTCCGCCAAAAAAGAAAAAAATCCTTTTTATGCACAAAAAGGTAAAACACAATGTATGAATATAGATAGAATTGTTGACCTCCCCAATGATAATCACACTGGCACACAAGTTTTGGGCTTTCACCTCCTCTCCTGGAGCCAGTGTGCAAACATACGCACTGCATAGAGGAGTAGTTTGCTCTTTTGAAAACAAACATTTCTCATGAATTTTAACAATAAAAAGCGTTGTTTTACTACCTTTACTTTTAATATACATCAAGTACTTGCAAACATCTAAAAATATGAGACATTTCCAATAAAGTACTTAACATTGTCAACTATAAATATCAAAGAATAAAATATACATGGAGTACCATGGTTTTAATGTGATTTCTAAATTCAAGCCAGATGCCACTGCACCTGTTTTTGCTCCACAAGGCCTCTGTTCTAAGTCTTCTAAACCATAAATATGGAGGTGTGCTCTCCCCAGTTTCATTTCTAGAGGTGACCTAATAATTCCATTTCAATTTTTTTGTTTTTTCTTTTTTGTCTTTTTGAGACAGGTTCTGCCTGGAGCTCATTTTGTAGCCCAGGTTCATCCCAAACTCTCAGCCATATACCTGCCTCAGTCTCCTGAGTGTTGGTATTACAGGGGTGCACCACCGCACACAATGCCACTTTTTTTTTTTTTTTTTTGTGGCACCAGGGATTGAACTCAGGACCCTGCGCTTTCCAGGCAAGCACTTATTCTACTGCGCTATCAACTCGGCCACAGAGCCAAGTCTTTTTTTTTCCCCCCCAGTACCATGGGTTGAACTCAGGACCTTGTACTTGCCAGACAAGCACTTATTCTACTGAGCTATCTCCCCAGCCCCTCAATCCCACTTTTAAAAATTCACTTACATATTAATTGTGGGGGCAATGTCTGTAATCCTAGCTATTCAAGAGGCAGAGACAAGAGAGCAAATTCAAGACCATCTCAGGGAATTTGACACCTTATCCCAACATAAAATGAAAACAAAAAGTGCTGGGAAGGTGTAGCCCAGTGGTACAGGGTTTTGGGGTTGGATCCCTAGTAGTGTACTATAAAGGAAAAAAAATGTTGTTTCCAAAGACGTTTGTTTTCTAATTTTATTTTTCACTTACATTTTGTAGTGCTAGAGAGCCCAGAGCCTCTCCCTTGCTAAGCAACTGCTCTAATACTGAGCTTCATCCCAGCCCTTCTACAATTTAAAAAAACAAATATATTTACATGACTTTTTTTTTTTTTTTTTTCTCATTTTTTTGTATTTGGTACAGGGTCTCACTACGGAGCTCGGAGTCGTAGTGAGCCTCCTGTTTTCAGCCTCCCCAACTCTGGGATTACAGGCCTGTGCCACCACACCCAGACTCGGTCGCGGGCATTAAACCTTGGTCCCTGTGCTTGCCAAGATGTATGAGTTTCTGACTCTTCTTTTTTTTTTTAATTTTATTTACTTATGTGTGTGTGCGCGTGTGTGAATGTGTGTGTCCAGCTCAGCCCACCAGGGGGCGGGGCTGGCTGGCACGTGGTGCTGGGGGATTGAACCGCGGTCCCTGTGCTTTGCTAAGCTTGTTCTAAGTAGGTGCTTTAGACCACTGAGCCATCTCACCAGCCCTTTTTAAAAAAATTTTATTTATTTATGTATGACTCTTCTTTATCTACAATCTCTTTATACTCACAAAGTCCACATATAGCAAGAGCTTTATTTTATTTTATTTTAATTGCGGAACCGGCGATTGAGCTCAGGCCCTTGAGCTTGCCTGGCAAGCGCTTACTCCGCTGAGAAGAGCTGTATTGTAAAGTGTGTGTGGACAGGTGAAGGGCAGAAAGCGGCTGGTCTACACGGTACACACTCAGAATCGGCCTGGCAGCCGGGCACGATGGCGCACGCAGGTAATCCCTGCACTCGGGAGGCTGTGGTGGGAGGATCTTCGCGAATTGGTCACCAGCCTGGGTTACAAAGTGAACTCAAGGCCAGTCTGAACTACAGAGCGAGACTCTGTCTCAAAAAACCAGAAATAAAAATAAAATGGCCTGCTACGCCTTCCCCACAGGTTCTCGGCATCCTTTGGTCCGGCAGCACACAGTCCACCATCTCCGCCTTCCGGTATCAACTAAGTCCAGCCACTCAATGCCCGCCGGGGGCGGAGGGCGCCTCACTAACGGCCGCCTGGGCGCGCTTACCTGGAGATCCCGAGGGCGCCTGCGTGCTGCCTGCGTGCTGCCTGCGTGCTGCTGCGTGCTGCGGCCGCCCCTGGCGTGGACGTCAGATCTATCCGCGAAGAAAGTAGGCCGCGGCGGCCATTTTGCGCCTGCGCAGCAGAGCGGCGCGGCCTCGAGGCGCACGACTTCCGGCGGCCGCAGCCCGCGGCGTCGATGGCCCCGAGCGCCACCGTCTACCAGGTTTGGTGCGGCGGAGCCGTGGGGCTGCGCTCTGGGGGATGCTGCGGCCCTCTGAGCCGGGGGTAGGGGTTTCCTTTCCACCTTGGGACCTGCGCGGTCCGTGGGCCAAAGACTCGTACCGTCGTCCGCCTCTCTTCTGTTGCACTCTGGCAGCTCGGCTCATTCTCTTATGTTTTTTCCTCCATTCGTTTTCTTTTTTACTCAGCAACACTAATGGTCGTGCTGGAGTTGCAAGCATCAGAGCCTCTTGCGTTCCAGACCGACATTCACCAGTTACCCGAGCTCGTGACCATAAATCACTGGCCCTGCCGAGGTAAGAGGAAAAACGCTTTCGTAATCACTACCCAAGTTCCACAGCTGCTTTGTTTTTTATACTGGGGATTGAATCCAGGGCCTTTTAGTGTGCTACAGCTGTAGCTATTGCCACACTATTTACTGAGGTGTCGGGGCGTTGGTGGTTCATGCTTGTAATCCCGGCCCTCGCGAGGCTGAGGCAGGGAGATCGCTGCGACGGTGGAGACCAGCTAGGGCTACAAAGTGAGCTCAAGGCCAGCTTCAACTGCACAGCGAGACCCTGTCTTAAAAAAGACCGCGCACGCAAACACACACACACACACAATTTAGGAAGCCCTGGTCTCCCATTTCTCCAGTTTGGGTTTGAACTTGGGATCCTCCTGCATCTGCCTCCCAGGCTGCAGGTGTTGGAGGTGTGTATCACCATGCTTCAAATTTTTATTTTTGAATAAGCTCTTGCTAAATTATCCAGGATGGCCTCAAACTTGTGATCATTTTACTGCAGCCTCCTAAGTGTTCGATTATAAGTGTGGGCTACAAAGCCTGGCTGATTTTGTTCTATTTCCTAAAGCAGTCAGTTTATCAGCAACTATTTCATAAGGTCAGAATGATTAAAACAGTTTTCTAGGGGCCAGGAGATGGCTCAGTGGAATAAGCGCTTCCCTGGCAAGCGCAAGGGTCTGAGTTCAATTCCCAGTTCCGCCAAAAAACCAAACCAAAAAAAAGTTTTCTTTCTTTTTTCCTTTTTTTCTTTGAGGCTTCATCTTGTTATGTTGGCCAGGCTAGGTTCAAACTATTCTGCCTCAGCCTTCCAAGTAGTTAGGATTATGGGTATGTGCAGGTGTGATTGGCTATACTGTTAATAAATATCCTCCCCCATCACCCGTGAGCTGCTTTGGAATTTTAAATATCGTATTAAAAGTCTGACCTTTATTCCTGGAGCAACTCCTTTTTGAGCAATTTCTACTTTATCTACCATCTCAAAATTACTAATAGAAAAAAGTTGTTAAGAGATTCTCATATATTCTAGGCCTACTTCAGATTTTTGATCCTCTTATTCAGCCTCTCCAGTGCTGGGATTGCAGGCTTGTGCTACCATACCCACATCAATCATTTTTTTTAAATATGCACATACTCCTAGTTGTTTTCACTGTAGTACTAGGTATTGAACTCAGTCCTCATACTGAACTACACCCACAGCCCTTTTTATTAAAATGTTTTATTTGAAACAGAGATTCACTGAATTTCCTGGGCTAGACCTAAATTTGTGAGCTTCCTGCTTCATCTTCCCAGAGTACTGGCATTACAGACTTGCGCCACCAGGCCCTGCTGCACTTACCCTTTAATTCGACAGTTATTTCACATATGGGTCTTTGTAGAAAAACAACATGGGGATGATTTCACCGCAGCAAAGTTTGTACTAATAAAATAGGGAGTGCTTCCTCTGTGCTTTCCAGTTGGGTGTTGGTTAAATAATTGTGTATCAGTACCGTGGGAGGTGATGTAGTTTATTTTTTAAATTATTAAAAATATTTAATATAAATATATATTTTTTTGGTGGTACTGGGGATCAAACTCAGGACCTTGTGCTTGATGGGCAGGCACTTATGCTGCTGAGGGAGGATTCATGTTATAGTCAAAGTTCTGAATATTTTGCATGCGTATCATGTTTCATTTTAGTAAAAACATTAAATGGTATTTTTAAAAGATTAGTGTTTTTATTTTTTTGATACTGCGACTCAAACTGAGGACCTCATCCTAAGTTGTATCTCTGGCAAAGATTAGTGTTTTTAAAAAAAAAGACTGGGATTATAGCTCAGGATAGAGTACTTGCCTCGTGGGTGAGGCCTTGAGTTTGATTGCCAGCACTATGGTTGGCAGTTAAAGGCAGATATTTCTGATAATCTCATCAGCCATACTCAGGTTAGCTTCAGATATGTCTCATGATCACCTGAAGTTTCGTCTCCCTTGTCAGCATTCTAAATTTGTTATATATGTATGTGTCATGTGCACATTCACATGTTCTCTCACTGTGTGTCTGGGAATATAGGGGAAAAGTTGATAAAGTCAGGTTGGAAAAGTGGGGGTGGGAGTATAGGTAAGTTTAGTTTTGAAGAGGTCTTTTGAATTTTTACCTGTAAAATAATGCTGCTCTCTTATTTAGGTTCACTGTAGATCATACAGTCATACTAGAGTGCCTTAAATAAAATAAGGGGTGTATGATGCTTTCAGAATACCTGTACAGGCTCTAGGCTATTGCTCCATTTAAGAGATGATTAAGCAGAGTGTGGTGGTACATGGCTGCAGTCCCAAACACTGGGAGACTGGGGCAGGAGAATCCCAAATTCAAGCCCAAGGTGCCGGGGAGATAGCTCAGTAGAATAAGCGCTTGCCTGGCAAGTGCAAGGGTGTGAGTTCAGACCCGGGTCCCACAACCACCACCCCCCCAAAAAAAAAAAGAAAAAGAAAAAGTCACCTTGTCTTCCAAGTTCAAGCCCATGAGGTCACTGGTTAGATTTCCGGTACCACAAAAACCACAACATTAGTATCCAAGTTTGAGCCCAGTGTGGGCAATTTAGCAACTTTAAGACTGTCTGATGGTTATAAGAGTTTTAAAGGGGCCAGGGAGATGGTTCAGTAGAATAAGCACTTGCCTGGCAAGCGCAAGGGCCCGAGTTCAATCCCTGATTCTGCCAAAAAAAACCCAACCAAACAAAAAGTTTTAAAAAACAAAAATTCTGGGACTGTAGTCCAGTGGGAAGATTGATTCTCCTTTTCTTTCTTTTTTTTTTTTTTTAATTTTGGCAGAACTGGGGATTGAACTTGGGCCTTTGTGCTTGCCAAGAAAGCACTTTTTCTACTGAGCCATCTCCCTGACCGTGGGAAGGTTTAATCTCAGTACTGCAAAAAAAAAAAAAAAAGGAGGGTTTGTAATTGTCTCAAATCTGGAATTGAATTTCTTCAGGAAGTGGTCATTTTTTTCAAGTATGAGATAATAATTAGAACACCAGGGCAGTCTATTACCATTAAATAGGCCATTGTTTCCTGATCTTTCAGTGGAAGGAAATGAAGAATTACGCATCCCTTAGCTTTCAAAAGATAAATGGGTCTTGAGTACGCAATGTATGGAAAAAGAATTATTTGAGGGAGGTGTCTTTGTGATGTAGATAAATATGCAGTTCCCTATTCTGCTTTTTTCAGTTATCTTTAAAACTGAACTATTAAGGAAATAACATTAAATAATTTTTTCTCTTGATAATGCTGTTTTAATTGAAATGTGGAAAACTTTCCTTATTCTAATATAGTATGTTTCTGAATCATTCAAATTGAGCCACTACTGCCTGACTAGACAGAGTATATTTTTTTACTCTAGCTGCTTTTCTTTTCCCTCCATTGCAGGCTGTAGCTCAGGCTGGCCTTAAACTCATGGTAATCCTCCTGTCTCAATAAACCTAGTGTTGGGATAACAGATGTGAATCATCAGTATGAAAAGTAATACTGTTTGAGAAAGTATTTAAAACATGAAATTAACGTCTTTATGAAATTCTTTAGTCCAGGGAAAACATGAGGCATGAGACAATCACCTGGGTTGTTTTGACCTAGAACAGCATGTTTCTCTCTGACCTATAAAGATCATAAATATTTCCCATTTAATGGGACTCCTTTCCTGGAATGTATAACATAGGTAAGCAGTGATTGGGGCCAGGGAGATAGCTCAGTGGAATAAGCGCTTCCCTGGCAAGCTCAAGGGCCTGAGTTCAATCCCTGGTTCTGCCAAAAAAAAAAAAAAAGCAATGATTAATCAACCGCTGCTATTTTTGGCTAATATAATTGTTTTTTTTTTTTTTTTAAATAGTAATTTATTTTTTTTTTAATATTTATTTATTTATTTATTTATTTTGTGTGTGTGTGGCCAGCTCAGCCCACCAGGGGGCAGGGCCGGCTGGCATGTGGTGCTGGGGGACCGAACCGCAGTCCCTGTGTTTTGCTTAGTTTAGCTTGCTCTAAGCAGGTGCTTCAGACCACCGAGCCATCCCACCAGCCCAGGCTAATATAATTGTAACAACCATCTTGTTATAGCCCCCTTCTTGTTCCTTTTTCTATCTACAAAACCAGACTTTCTCATTTTGGAGCGTTCTGCACGGGAAAGATGCATGTTGCCTAGATGGCTAGTCTCAGTGTAGTTAGAATAATTATACTATTTGGTGTGCATCAATTTGCCTTATAGTTTGATCACTTTTGGAAAGAGGTATCCTGTTTCCCCCTAAGTTCTGTTTGTTGCTTTTTTTTTTTTTTTTTTTTTTTTTTTGGCGGAACCCAGGATTGAACACAGGCCCTTGCGCTTATTCTCCTGAGCTATCTCCTCGGCCCCCTTGTCCTTTGGATCTTGAAAACCTATTATTACAAGAACTGATTAACAAGAGAGAAGCATCAAAGTTTTAAATGCATATGAGAATATTAACAGAATAAAGGCTGATGAAATAACCACTGCACATTTATATACTTCTTAAACAAAAATCTGAAGAAATAGGATGACTGATATGGGGACTCAGGTAGTAAATTCTTGGGATGATGCTGCCATATATGGCAAAAGAAGATGAAAATGTCATGGGAGCGAGACATGGTGGTACTCACCCGTAATCCCAGCACTTGGGAACCTGAGGCAGAAGGATCACTAAGTTCATGGCCAGCCTGGGCTACACAATGATTCTCTGTCTCAAAGACAAAAAAAAAAGGGGGGGGGATTAGAGTTATTTTTATTTTTTTGTTTTGTTTTTTTGAGACAAGATCTTGTATGTAGTTCAGGGTAGACCTAAGCCATGACGCTATCACTCATCACACCAGATCCCAGTGGGTTTTTTTGTGCTAGGAATTGAACTGAGGACCTTGAGCTTGCCAGGCAGGCCCTTGTGCCACTGAGCTGTATTCCCAGCCAGCTCCCAGTATTTTTTGTCACTACCCTTCCTGCCTTTATTTTTTTTAAGGTGCTTAGAATTGAACCTGGGACCTTGTGTGTGTTCAACATGGATGTAGTTAAACATGTATAGTTAAACTGAACTATATTCCCAACCCTGTAGAAGATTATTTAACACAATTGTAGTTTTTGGTAATAGCTACTGGTTTATCTCACTGATATTTTTCTATTTCCTTCAACATAAGTTACTTAAATATCTTTAGCCCAAATTTTGCTTTATTTCTTTGTCCTGTTTCTTTCATTTAATTGTTTTCTGTGTATTATCTCTTTAATTACTTCAATACCTTGTTTTTTAAAACCAGAAAGTTTGGCTCCTCTCTCCAACATTGTGGTGTATACATTTGACTCCATTCTTCACCATGTCTTCCCACAAGACTTTCAGGATCAAGAGATTCCTGGCCAAAAAGCAAAAGCAAAATCGTCCCATTCCTCAGTGGATTCAGATGAAAACTGGTAATAAGATTAGGTACAATTCTAAGAGAAGACATTGGAGACAGACCAAGCTGGGTCTGTAAGAAATTGCACATGAGTTCATGCACATATGCTGTACTAAGACCTGTATAATTATATTGAGTCACATACACTGTACGAAGATTGTTAGCATTGTGTTGAATTTAAACTGTCTCCACTCTTTGGACCATTAGACATGTTTATTGGGAATATGTTTCTTGTACTTGTTCTTATAGTTTGTATGGCTTAATAATGTAAAACCTTTTGTTTGAAAAATAAAATTTTTGGCTCTGCAGAAGTTCAATATTTTATGTTGTTCTGTTGGTTTGGTTTGCAATGCTGGGGATTGAACCCAGCACCTGAAAATGCTAAGCAAGTGTTCTACCACTGAGTTAAATGCCCACCTCTTAACATAAGCAAAGAAACCCATTTGTCAATTTGAGGTCATTGAATTCTTCAACTTTTTCACTACAGTTCTACATTACTGCTAAAGTTTGTCACTTTCTCTTTCCCTCTATTAACTCAATCCCTAGTGTGCCCTGCTAGCCCCAGCCCTGGGCTGTGCTGAGACAGTGATAGAGACTGGGTGTAGTGTTGTGTGCATGTAATCCCAGTGCTTGGGAGGCTAAAAACAGGAGGATCACTACGAGTCCAATCTGCGTAGTGAGACCCTGTGACCCTGTTCTAAATACATTAAAAAGAGTCAAGGGAGATATTTTTTTTTCCTTGTTTGATTTTATTTTTCAAACTTAAGATCTAAAGCTATGGCTGAAAAGAATGAAGTGTGTCTGTGCATGCTGCTGAGGTCCAAGACCCCCAAAGACGTCCACACCTTGGAAAAAGCTTCAGTGTCGGGGCTGGTGAGGTGCCTCAGTGGTCTGAAGCACCTACTTGGAACAAGCTTAGCAAAGCACAGGGACCGCGGTTCAATCCCTCAGCACCACATGCCAGCCAGCCCCGCCTCCTGGTTGGCTGAGCCGGCCACACACACACACAAAATAGCTTCAGTGTCTCAAAACAGCTAAATGTATTTTCTTTTCCTTTTTTTTTTGTACTAGGAATCCAACTCAGGACCTTGCACTTAACCTAGCAGGTGCTACACCTCTGGCCCTAAAAAAACTAAATGTAAATAAACACCATACCTAGAGTAGTCAGGAGCCTCTTTTCCCTTGGAATTTGATAAAAACACCCCCATTTATCCTTACAGCATAAAAATAGGTTCAGAGGGAGGAAATGATATTCCTTGAGGCTCCACTTACCTTGGATAAGTCTTTTGAAATTATTCTATAAGGGGCTGGTGAGATGGCTCAGTGGTCTAAAGTACCTACTTAGAACAAGCTTAGCAAAGCACAGGGACCGCGGTTCAATCCCCCAGCACCACAAGCCAGCCAGCCCTGCTCCCTGGTGGGCTGAGCTGGCCACACACACACATAAAAATTTTAAAAAATTCTATAACACACTATAATGTCCACTTTTGTGTTTGTGTCTTGCTTGAACTTTTCTCCCCATAGCCTTCACATTGAGTTGTAGTAAATCCCTGACTTATGAATGCGTTGTTTCTGGAGGACATTTTCGTAGGTTAGATTTATTGGGAAGTCCATCAGTCTTACCTTTGACACAAATATAGAATGTAATGCATAAAAAAAGTAGACCTCCACATCACCAGCACTTTTCTTGCTTCCAGTCTGGGCTCTGACAAAGAGTATACTTGTCCAACAGATAATATGAGCTACTTTGAGGTTTGTTTTCATATACATAATTCGAGGTCTATTCATATCAGTGAAAATTCTTAATGTGAATGTCCAAAAGTAGGAGTCTTAATGTATTTGCCCAACCCTTTTCAATTTTTTTGAGATGGCTAGACTTGAATCTACATTATTCCTGCCTCAGCCTTCCAAACAGCTGGTGTTACAGGTGTCTACTATCATGAGCAGCAGATTTTTTTAAAACTGAGGCAATTTCTCACCAAGTTGCCCAGGCTGAACAAGAATTTGTGATCCTCTTGTCTCAGCTTTCCAGGGTGCTGGAATGACATAGTCCACCATGCCCTGCTTATGGTATGTTTTGTTACTAATGTAAACCAAGTTGGCCTTGGCTTTTTTTTTTTTTTTTTTTTTTTTTTTTTTGGTTAGGTAGTGACTTGGTGGAGGCACTCATCTCTTAATAAGGGTTTTTCTGCTGCCTCCCCCACAGCAGGTGGTACTCCTTACCTCTCCAGAGAGCCCTATAATGATCACCAATAGCATACCATCCAAAAGCAGGCTTCTCAGAATCTACACTTGAGATCTTAGCCAAAAGGCTGAGAAGCGATTGCTTCTCAGAGTCTAAAGTAGCCCAGGGTCTAACAACCCCAGGAGGTTGTTGCACTGTTCAGTGACTGGAGAGCTACCGTTGTGCTGAACTACATCCCCAGTCCCTTTTTTTTTTTTAAATTTTGCGACAAGGTCACTAAATCACTAATTTGCCCAGGCTGGACTCCAAACTTTCAATCGCCCTGCCTCAGCCTCCTAGTGTGATGGGGTTACAGGAGGACCACTTACTTGACTTACTTTTTTTTTTGGCAGAACTGGGGATTGAACTGAGGCCCTTGCGCTTGCCAGGGAAGCACTTATTCCACTGAGCCATCTCCCCAGCCCTAGGACTACGTACTTGAATCGCAAACTTGAACGGATTGTCAGGAAAATTCAATAATTGATACAGGATATTTTAATGCGATATTTAAAACGTAGGAATCTGTGCACTACCAGTTATGTCGGGGCCTTTTCTCATTATCAAAGTTTTCTGTCAAAATGCTAACAAGCCTGCCCAGGAACGAAGCCCTGGGAGCACCTGGACGAAGAGCTCTAGTAGGCGACCCAGCCACGCTTTCACCCCCTTCCACTTCTCACAGCCGCCATTTCCCCGCCCCTGCCCCCGCTTGTCTCTGATTGGGTAGGCTACTGCACGCTCTCGCTGTCATTGGTCAGGACTCGAGGTAGGCGGGGACAAATATACCTCAGCCGGACGCCGGGGGAAGCTCTCTCAGCACTCTGCTCGCGGCTCGTGGAGGTTGCGGCGCGGCCGCTGGACCGGCTTCCCTCTAGGTACATAGCTGCCCCTTAACGGGCCACGCGAGCGGCGGTTGGCGGGGCAGCGGCTGTGCGGCGCCGTGGGGGGTCCCCGCGCCGCGTGGCGAGCGAGGCGGTTGCGGCGAGGCGGGCCGGGACGCGTGTGGGCGCCGGGGCTCGAGGCGGGCAGGGGGTCGGTGCTGCGCTGAGGCAGCCTCGCGGGTGAGAGCCCTGCGCCGGCCCCGGGGCGTAGAGGGCCGGGCGGCCGCCCCCCTCCTCCCGCCGTCTCTTCGAGGTACCTGGAGCTGTTCACGTCGTCTTTACGAGGAAACCCCTCAGGTGCCTGAAGTTAGCCGGACATGGCCGAGTGTTGTGAGGCCGTAGACCCCAGGGGAGGGCACACGGTGTGGAGGACGCTAGAAACGGAGTAGCCCGGAACCCCGACGGCTTGCTTTATTTTCGTGTTCCGGGGAGGACCTTTGGAGCCAGAACCTTTGTAATGACTTACGTCCATCCCAAACCCATATAAATTTGTTGTTGTTGTTGTTGTGAGAGATGGTCTCGCCAAGTAATGTAGTCGCCCAGGGTAGGCTTGACTTTACCATCTGCCTGCCAGAGCCTCCCAGTGTGCTGGGATTGTATATATGCCCCACCAAGCCCAGTTTGGAGCACAAACTTTACCAAGATAGGCATATGCTGATTAAATGCTGAGAGCTTTTTTCAAAGTAGATGATTATTTTTCATGAATGTCAGAAAAAGGAAAAGGAAACTTTTATCAGCCCACTCACATTTCTGTAATTTTTTGGCAAGCCATTTCGAGAATGTGTTTAAACAAAAGAAACAATAACTGCTCTGTCTCTGCTTAAAACGCTGCTGAGAAAACTTCATTTACTTGTTACTGTGTTGAAAATAAACTTTACAACATAGTAAGCCAATACAAGTTAATTTATGATGTGATATTTCTGCTCCTAAGATGGTCACAATCTAGAAAGACACATTGAATAATTCACGCTAGAAAAAGTGTCATAGTCACCTGAATAGTGATTGCAACTTAATGTTTTCATTAGAATTTTTAAAAAAAATTATCAGTTATTTAGGTTCTAAGTAAGAAATTTAGAACACTAATTTATGAGGATAAATTCCATTTGTCAGAGCAAAAAACAGATCACAGGTAGTCCCGGAGCTGAGGAACTGCTTTGATTTTTGCTAAAATCTGTGAGTACACTGCTTTCTTTTTTTTTTAAATTTTATTTCTGTGTGTGTGTGTGTGTGTGTGTGTGTGGCCAGCTCAGCCCACCAGGGGGCGGGCTGGCTGGCATGTGGTGCTGGGGGATTGAACCGTGGTCCCTGTGTTTTGCTAAAGCTTGTTCTAAGTAGGTGCTTTAGACCACTGAGCCATCTCACCAGCCCAGTACACTGCTTTCTGATCCACCTTGCACTACTCTGAAGTCTGGTATCTTTCTATGCATCAAATATCTCGCCCTCATGGTGTCTGGGTTTTCATAGCTGCTTTTTTTTTTTTTTTTTTGCGGAACCAGGGATTGAACTCAGGCCCTTACACTTGCCAAGGAAGCGCTTATTCTGCTGAGCCATCTGCCCAGCCCCCAGCTGCTGCTTTTTTTTTTTTTTAATATTTATTTATTTATTTATGTGGGGGGTGTGGGTATGGGTGGGTGTGGCCAGCTCAGCCCACCAGGGGGCGGGGCTGGCATGTGGTGCTGGGGGATTGAACCGTGGTCCCTGTGCTTTGCTAAGCTTGTTCTAAGTAGGTGCTTTCGACCACTGAGCCATCTCACCAGCCCCCAGCTGCTTCTTGAAGTAAGCATCAGTGAGGTGTTTGGAGATTTTCACTTTGCTGATATCTACTTTTGTAGAGATGGTAATGACAAATTTCTGGTGTGCTTTTCTGTAGAGGAACATGATTAAGGCTAAAAAGCCCAGTCACAAGTAGCAAGCCACTGTCCAGCTGCTTCAAGAAGATCACTTTCTTGCCTCTGTGATGCCCGGTGAGGATGATCAAGAGATGGTGCCAGAAGTGATGCTAGCTCGAAGTTTCCTCATGTCCTGAAGGGTTTCTTGCCGTGGTTCAAAAGAGTTTTCAGGGCACATCTTTTTTTTTTTTGTTTGTTTTTTTAATTGTGTGTGTGTGTGCGCGCGCGCGCGACCAGCTCAGCCCACTAGGGGGCAGGGCTGGCTGGCATGTGGTGCTGGGGGATTGAACCGCGGTCCCTGTGCTTTGCTAAGCTTG